TTGGGACCCTTTCTCTGGGGAGGGAAACCCAGCAGAAGGGACCTCAGCAAGTCATCTAATCTACTACCTTCGCTTGGTTTGGAGGCCTGTACCAGATGCCCACCATGACATGACCCCTGCTGCTCTCCCCTTTGACCTTTAACCAGAGGCTTTCAACAGGTCTACTTTTCTGTGGAGGAGGGTAAGCCTTTTTTAATGGATGGAGAAGATCTTTTTCTGTGATTAAAGGACTGGATTAGGAGCAACAGTCTCAGGCAACATCAAAGGAAATTTAGGTTGGTGATTAAGAAGAATTTTTTTCTCTCTGAAGGTGGTCATGCATTGGAACTGACTATGTAGAGAACTTGTGAATCTCCATCCTTGAAAATTTGCAAGAGCAGGTTAGGCAGGAATTTGAATGGGATGGTTTAGTCAGGGATGATTCTGCCTTGAGCAGGGTTGTGAACGAGATGACCTGTGAGGTCCCTTCCAACCCTACTTTCCTATGATCCTACACCCTTCAGGTATTTGAAGACTCTTACCCCAGTCTTTTCTTCTCCAGAATTCTTCTCTTCTTCAGCCCTTCCTCATAAATTATGCTTCCCAAACTTCTAATATTTTTTATCACTCTGATGGACTCTCTCCAATCTGTCCACATCTTTGTAGAAGTGTAGGGTCTAAAACTGGACACAGTACTCCAGGTGAGGTCTCACCAGTGCTGAATAGACCAGAAGAATCACTTCTCTTGATCTGCAAGTAGCGTTCCTCTTACTACAACCCAGTAAACTGTTGATAAGTTTGATAAGGAGAGAACACCATTGGCTCATATCATGTTCCACTATAACCCCCAACTCCTTCTCTGTAATGCTGTAACCTAGCCGGTCATTCCCCAGTCTGTATTTCTGCATATGATTATTCTGTCTGAAGTGTCAGACTTTTCATTTGTCCTTGTTGAATTTTACCTGATTGATTTTGGATAATTTCTCCATTTTATCCAGATCATTCAGGATCCTAGCCCCATCTTCCAGAGTGGCTGCAATTCCATCCAACTTAGTGTTATCCAGAAACTTGTTAACGGTGCACTTGTTCCTAATAGCCAAATTGTTAAGAAAGATCATAGAATCATAGAATCATAGAAGTAGGGTTGGAAGGGACCTTGTAGATCTTCAAGTCCGACCCCCTGCCTGGGCGGGAAAAAAAACAAAACAAAAAACTGGACTCAAATGAGTCCATCCAGGTAGGCATCAAGCCTCTTCTTAAAGATCCCCAGGGTAGGAGCCAGCACCACTTCCCTTGGAAGTTGGTTCCAGCTCCTAGCCACCCTAACTGTGAAGTAGTTCTTAGGGATGTCTAATCTAAACCTACTCTCCAATAATTTGTGTCCATTGTTCCTTGTCATGCCAGGGGGTGCTAGGGGAAACAGTGTCTCCCCCAAACCCTTCTGGTCCCCCCTACTGAGTTTATAGATAGTCACCAGGTCCCCCCTCAGCCTTCTCTTGTGAAGGCTGAACAGATTTAGGTCCCACAGTCTTTCAATGTAGGGTCTGCCCTGT